TCTTTTGGATACAAACAGATTTCAAAATCAGCACAGCTAAAAATTGCAAGTAGCCATGCACTACATGTATTTTAATTGAGGTTGTGCATGTTTTAATGATGGTAAATATGCATGAACTCAMATTTCTATATACAGCCCAATAATTCTTGATCTCTACTCTGTATACATCTCTTCGTTGATTTTAAGTTGGGTTTTATCAGTGAGACTTTCTTTTTCATTCACTTTCTTTGATATGAATTTTTATKAATGAACATATAAAAAATAATCATTCTATTGTGAAACAGAGAAACAGTTCAGTAAAAATGGAACCTTAAAATTTAAACTAATCACTTATACATCTTCGATCATTTGGATTAAGGAAATAYTTCCCTTTTAACCACAAACAACCTGTTTTCAAACTTAAATGAATGATAAACTCTATGGCTCAATAGCCGATCTAGTGTTAATATATCATTGCCTTGTGGCAAGTCAGGCTCTTTGATCTCGTAAGCATTTAGATTTTCATTGAAATCAACCATGTCCATAACACTAGTCACAAAAAATACCCCATGCATCTCAATATACCATATGTGTGTTAGTCTACCAAATTCAGGATTTCTGTCCACAGTTCCAGTTACCAGATAAGCATTAACATCAGGCTTGTAGAGAGTTCYATGTACTTTCACAGATTTCAGCTGATAAATGCCATCATTTTGATTAATCTCGATATCACAAAATGTCTTAACAGTGTTTTTWATATACAAAATCAACTGGTGATCTGTAACTTCCTTTGCTGCTCCCAATTGACAATCATCATCTAAACCATTTGCTTTGCCAAAAGAGATACTGTTAGCATATTGCATACTCTGATGCCTCATTGAGAGCGAATACGGAAGGTTCTTGAAATTTTTGATAACTTYTGATAAACTTTTAAAATATGAATGCTTCGCTTCGAATCGCATGCACCATGATCTTATTAGAGGCCCAAATTTCAACATCAGTGATGGTAAATGAACTAAATAATGGAGTTTGGGTGTTATCCGACAATCATATAGTTCCTTGTATTCCTTAAGATGACCTGCAATCAGTATCTTCAAGTAGAGTGCAACTTCAACAGTAATACTGGGTGAAAAACAAATTGTCATGATTTCTTGTAGAGGAACTGTAGCAACTGCAGTTTTCACTTTCTTCTATGTCTGTGTATTGGCCGMTAATAAATGGAATTATGAAAGCCAGAAGGTGCATCTGGGCAGCTGTCTGTCCTAAGTTTGTACTTGATGCCTGCTGAAGGTCTGTTTCTTTGATCACTACTGGCCTGTTCTGCTTTTGTGAGTAGCCAAGTGTGAATGCTTTTATATCTTTCTTTAACTTTAAATTAGCATATGTCATAATGGTGGAGGGCCACAGACTCTGAAGCTCCGTATTATATGGGCACTTACAATTCCCATGTGTTGAATGAACGCTTTGTTTTCAGATAGGTTGTTTATCTTTTGTTCCCTTTTTAGCACCTTAGTTGCTCTTTTGTTTTACACTTCCTTTGCTTTTTTTGTTTATTTCTCGTTACCATGCCTGCCTTGTTCCTATTGGTCTATTTTCGTTTCTACTCTTAGTATATAAACTCACACTATACCTAGTTCCATCTCTWTACTCCGACGAAGKATTAACGTCCGAAACGTCACTAAGTTATTTCACCTACTTTTTTACSGTGCTAAATTTATCTTTGTACACAACTGCATCTCACTGAACAGTTTACCGCTAGTTCCAACMATGTTGAATGAATGCTGTGTTTTATAGTTAATATCTTTTGTTCTCGTTTTTAGCACCTCTTTTGTTCTTTTCTCTATCACATCTCTTACTTGATTTCTTTAAATCCCGTTACCATGCCTACCATGCTCACATTGATCTCCTTTTTTTTTTGCTACTTTCATGATTGTATAAACGCACTCTAAGCCCAAATACATTACTTAACTTTACCCAACGAAGAATCAACTTCTGAAATGTCAGTTCGTCTAGTTCACCTACCTTTTTATAATGTAACTTATATCGATTGCAAAACGAAGTCTTTTTAGATGCCGGCTACCATCGGGACACCATTCCCATGGGATTGTCGGGCCCTATAAAAMCAMGATCACTGCAGTATAAGCTGTCTACTGCATTCAGAGCTAAAACGACTAAAGGTATGTATTTCACTTCTAAATTCATTTCTCCTTTCTATATTATGACCAACTATATGATTTTAAATGTCAAGTTGTTTAAAGCTCGAACAACGATTAGGACTAATCGGGTTTGAACAACATGCTATAGTAGTTTAGAATTACGAGAAATCTGCTAATGAATAGCCAAGCCTTCAATGTTGGTTTCATATACAGTCTCCAAAGAATAATATATTTGCCTTTTGATATTCTTAGCATTCTGACCAAGCATATATTCAAGTTATCAATCAAGTTATCAGTTATCAAGCAGAATCGTCGACAATGGCATACGCCCCAACTCGAGGTATGTTATTTTCTTTATTATAGTTATTTAGTGCGCTCCTCCACGAGTGATGGTGGCAACTAGTCTGAGCTCCGTGTTATAAAGAAACAGTTCATTAAAAAAGACAAATTCAACACCGTAAAAAAGGAGGTGAAACAACTTGGTGACGTTTCGGACGTTAATCCTTCGTCAGAGTGAAAAAGGCGATGGTCTTAAATTTACCTTTTTACACAACTCGGATTCCTTTTTGTTATCAATTTTTTTGATTAATTTCTCTTCTAAATGACACAAGTATTTCTTGTGACATTAAGAGATGTACTTCTGATGTTAGCTATCGGGATCTTTTCTTTTTTGGTATAAACTAATTTGGATCGTCTTTTTATTTTGGCAGATGATATTGTAGACATGTCCTTTATGGAAGAGGAGATCGAAGAASACACGAGAAGAGCACGGGAAGAGAGGGAGAAAGAGCAGAGGCGTTGGGAAGTAGAAGAATAACGGAAAAGRCTTGAGGAGGAAAGGGCGAAAGAGGAGGCCAGAAGRAAGAAGAGAAAGAAAGGTCAAAAAGACGAAACAGGCGTCGCGTTCGACGAAACACACGACCCGGCCAATTGTCACTACCAAGAAATGACCTGCGTCGGGCGATCAATGCGCGCTGTATGTATAACAAATCCATTTCTTAGTGTATTTTTTATTAGGTGTAAGCAATTTGTTATCCTCATCAGTAACTTTGTGTCCACATTTATTATTTCTTCTACAGCTCTGTGTTTGAACTGCGGCCAGGGAGGCCATTACATGGCCCACTGCCCTTGGAAGACGAACCACCCAAGCGTTCACAGCTACACGTTTACGGGACCGGTACAAATGTCAAAATTCCACGGCGATTAATAATTTTCATTGACATGTTTTGATTTTTTATTCTATATTATTATTGATGATTAAAGTGTGTTGACAAAAATCATGTATCTTATTTTGTCTTTGTCTTATTAAGCGCCTAGTCTCCTTTACAGACCCATAATTCTAAATCATTGTAAAAAAGTCGTTTCGTTTTCGCATAGTATTGACATAAACTTGTGGTACCACAAGAACATGAATCCAAACCACTATTTTGTGGTTTGGATTTCTTTTATTAGCACTTTAAGGCTTATTCTTTCTTTATKCATTTTATTATTTAAGTTAGCAGTAGGTCAGTAACACTTCACCATTATTTCAATAGTCACTTCAAGCACGGGGCGGGAAAATTCGACTTCACATAAAGTGTATCAGTACCATCTAACAGCAGCCTCATTTGCCATATTATTACTCTCCTACTAACATGCTGCTAAAGGATAACTTTTCAAGATAATGTCAAAGCTTTTGATTATTCCATTTTATCTAGTTCGCCAACTGAAATTTGACACTTGATGATCTATTGTCAATCACGGAACAATGGAAATTTTTCACACTACTCGCTAAGGCAATATATCGTCTTTWTAAAAGTTTTTCAATTTTGGGATTGCACTTTTGTTTTGCACTTTCAACACTGCTGATGTTGAAAACGTTGTGTATCAATGCAAATGTGAGGTTGRATGRGCATTCTATTTGAGGTCTTCGGGAACTATTAATTGGTTAAAGTGATTTACATYCGGTTCTTTTTAAACGAGAACACCTTCCAGTCAGGAACAAGCCTCGGAAGCGACTACGCTGATCGAACTACCATTGGTTGGTTGCACAACTAGTGTGAAATTTTGTGCCAATCAGCAAGGGGAAATCAAGTCTCTGAAGCCTYACTGTGACACACTGTGTCGTATTTCATTCTCTCGGTTTCAATTGTCGAGTATAGAACGCTTTTTAACTAGTTATCGATTTATAGCGGAGCACCATAACTAAGGAAAAATGGTAAACCCATGGGGATGAGTTTTAATCAACCGACACAGGAAGCCCAGTTGTCCTTCCGTACGTACGGCGTACGTCCGTCCGTACGTGTACATCGCGATTCTCATTGGCTAAGAGAAGAGAAGACGGAGACGCCGAAATCAAAGACGGATTTTGAAAGGCGAAAGGAGACTCCTTGAAGTGATAAATGATCTTCCTGCACCACCCCCACCGGGATCAAGGCATCAAAGACGTAGAGAGCTTCGAGCAATGATAGAGTTCATGGTAAATGAGAAGCTTGGCTTACATTTTTCATGACAGGAAGCTGTGCTGAGTTCTAATTCCCACCATTAAGAAGGCTTTTAGAAAAGTACATCTTGGAAATCACTGGACAAGTTGTTAACCTACTTGACAGCAATGCACGATTCAAAGCAGTACAGGAGAACACTCATGTTGTGGTTTCTTACTTTGATGCCCGCACCCAGAGCTACCACGAGAAAATAGTCAAAGGCGTGTTTGGTGTTAGCGACTATTGGTATCGGTACGAGTTCGCAAAGTCGAGAGGACAAATACATTGGCACCAGCTTAGTTGGAGAGGTGATAGAGAGCCATACGTCTTACTCAACAATGTCAGAGAGGAGGAATGCGATGATGATGAGCGTGTTTCAAGACTTAGTGATTGGGTTAAAGACAAGTTCGATATGTCTGCTTCGCACCCTGCCGGCAAAGATGACCAAGGAAATCCAAAAAAGGAGTTCTGGCCACCACCAGAAGGTTCTGCAGAACCCACAACCAGTGACCAAGATCCACTCGTTAAGATGTTGATGGATGTATCGGCAACCCAGGATGCCATTCTGGAAGACTACTTGCAGTTGGTGAATAGGGTTGGACTTCATTGCTGCTCTGATTATTGCCTGAGAACACCCAGACATCCTCAGCCAGGTCTTCAGCCAAGAGAACGTGTCTGTAGAATGGAATTTGGCTCCGAATTCCACAGAGGAAAAGAGACTCGTGATTCAGCAGCAGTGGTAAAAAATCGCAATGGTGCTTTGAGATTGGAACTACCCCGTGATCACCCACGTGTTATACAGCATTCCCGATATCAGTTGCAGTCGTGGAGAGCAAATGGAGATGTTAGTCTGATTGTATCCAGCTCTCATCCAGACTTCCCTAGTGCAAATGAAATAATTGCTGTCACYGATTACGTTTGTGGATATGCCTGTAAAGACAACGAACCAACTKGTGCAACCATTGATCTATTTAAAGACATGGTGAATACAGCTGACTCCGCTGACGAAACCAGGAGATCAATTTGTGCAAAGCTTCTAATGAAAACAGTYGGAAGAAGCGGAAGAGCTAAGTGGTTTGGCACTCTGGCGCTGTAGCAGACAGTTTTCCTACCTATCAATGACAGGTTCAAGACGTCTTGAGCAAAATGGTGACACRGCAACATCGAGCAGTTCACTGGATAGATATTTAGCAAGACCACGTGATCAACTATGTTCCTTGTATGATTATGCATCCCAAAATGGAAAAATAYCAGTTGTTAGTGGTGGTGCAACCTATGCAACATGGCCACTCTGTGAGGATTATTGCCGTACAATGATGCTGCTACATTGGCCAAGCTGGTTTCAAATTCAAGAGGTTAAGAGAGATGGTGAATCCTGGATTGAGCGTTTTGAAAGCTTTCTCGACAGT